ATAACGGAAAAACACTGTAGAACACGTCCCTAATCTTCTCTCTAGGTTTCCGAACCTCAAAACGGGGTTAGGGAGGCTTTATTTAAAGAAAACAATGAGTTTGGGTCGAAAAAGGACAGATCTGCGGTACGCACGGAGCCTACGCACGGCGTGCGTTGCGTCCGTGCGTTCGACAGATGTCCGCGTGAAAATAGGCAACGCACGGAGTGCGTTCCCCTACGCACGTCCGTGCGTTTCTGCCAGTAGCCTTTCGCCATTTTAATGCCTTGAACGCACGGAGTGCGTACCCGGACGCACGGCCGTGCATTGCTGCCAGTGGCTTCTCGTCATTTTATCGCCTTGAACGCACGGCGTGCGTACCCGGACGCACGGCCGTGCGTTGCTGCCAGTAGCTCTCCCTCAATCAACGCCTTGGACGCACGGCGTGCGTACCCGGACGCACGGCCGTGCGTTGCTCATTACTTTTCTTGGCTGCTACTGCCACGCACGCACGCCGTGCGTCCCTGTACGCACGGCCGTGCGTGGCCTTTCTTCTTCATTTTCTTCGATTTCTTCCGTTTTAAGCCTCCGTTTGACTACTCGATCGATCCAATAGCTCTTTCTTCATCAAAACATCATCGTGAATCTCCCGGTGGCCTCCAAATCTCTCAAATCTTCTTCGAATGCTTCCAAACACTGCCCGATTGCTTCTCAAGCGCCGATTGCCGGACTCTAACTTCTTCAAATCAACTCCAAATGCAATGAAACTCGATCCAACGCCTGCTAAACACAACTTGAGCCAAAATTGAGACTTGCAACGCCTTAAAGCTAGGAAAATCATCAAAATCCAACCCAGACACGCATCAAATGCGTGTCTAAATACGGACTTATCAGTAATCAATGCACATTCTAAGTGAACCATCCTCCTTCTTTACAAAAAGAACTGGTGCCCCCCATGGCGAATGACTCGGCCTAATGAACCCATTATCCAGTAACTCTTTCAATTGAACCTTCAACTCTTGAAGTTCAGCCGGTGCCATCCGATATGGAGGAATCGAGATGGGTTTTGTGCCAGGTTCTACTTCAATTGCAAACTCAATTTCCCGATCTGGTGGGAGTCCCGGGAGTTCTTCGGGAAAACTTATGGATACTCGCTCACCACCCTCACTCTGTGAGACTCTTTCCTTTGCCTTCCTTGCCTATGACATAGGGTAAGTAAGCCTGATACCCTTTCTTCATCGTACGCCTCGCTCTTATGGCCGATATGATACAAGGATTGAACTTCCCTCTATCTCCCTCAAAGCATAGAGTATTTCCCTCACCATCTTCTAGTTCTAACACCTTAGTGTAGCAATCTACTTTTGCATGGTGTTTTTCAAGCCAATCCATGCCAAGTATAGCATCAAACTCAAGCATATCTAATGGCACAAAGTCACCCTTTAGGCGATGCTCCCCTATCTCCACATTACATGAAGGATAGTAGTGTTTCCTCTCCACATCGTCTCCTAATGGTGTTGAGACCAACAAAGGTTGCGCCATTGCTACTAAAGGCATGCCCAATCCCTCGGCAAACGCTTCACTCATAAATGAACGTTGCGCCCCGGTGTCAATGAGTATTCTCGCACGTCTACCATTGATCTTTAGTGTTCCTACATATATAAGCCATGTAAGACACACTACCCAACGTCCCGACTGAAAAGGGACTGAGCGAAGAGGTTTCAGCCCAAGATTACCCTATACCCGGTTGGGTACGACTCCATACTCGGTCGGGTATTACCCGAGCCCTTAAGGAAAAACTTCCTATTAATTTTGCTCGGTCGAGTACACACCTCGAACTCCAACAAATTAACTACACCCGGTCGGGTATATGCCCATACCCAGTCAGGTATGGCTGGAAATATCCAAGTTTTCTTCCAAGAATGTTCGATCGAGTACACACTTCTAAAACGAAAAATTTACTCATACCTGATCTGGTATATAACCATACCCGATCGGGTATTGCAGGAAGTGCCCAAAGTGAAAGGTCCTGCCAAACTCGCCCGAACGAGTACACACCTCGAAACTGAAAAATCGCCCATACCCGGTCGGGTCTATAGGGGTACCCAATCGGGTCTTACCTGTTTTATGCACATTTTACTCTTAAGTAAATGAAAAATGCATGCGTGATCAAGGGGTTACCTGCAATAGAGTCTGGGTTGGCTCGAGCATCTGTCTCGGTCATTGCATACACCCGTGCTTGGGTCCTCCCTTGGTTAACGGACACGACGTTACTAGCCGTGGGTCCGCCCCTCCCCGAGCCGCCCTGATATAGTCCCGCACGCCCCCTACTAGACGTAAGTTCTTCAAAGACTCCTGATGGTCCCCCTCCATTCAACATTAGGTATGAGAGTTTAAGGTGACTTGTGCTACCGCACTTGTAACATCGGGGTGGTTCATTGCACTTCCCGGTGTGATTTTTGGTGCAGTTTGGACACCTCGGTGGCCTCACACTCCCTGAGTTGTGCCCTCGCCCCCCTGGGCCCTTATTCTTCTTCGCCGGTGGTGCCGACGCCCTAAATGAACTTCCATCCCCGGCGTGATGCTTCCGGGAATGGTCTTGGGGTCCAGAATCCCCCCACCTCCTCTTCTTCGCCTCCTCGGCGTCTCTCTTCTTGACTCTTTGTTGGCCTTAAAGTCAAATGCCTATGTTCAGAATGAGACAACCACACTTCAAACATTGCAAGTGTCCAAGTATTGTTCTTCTCCAATGCATCACACACCTCATCAAGTCACATTTATGGAGCTTTTGATTCAGGGATTGTGAGACCTTAGATGATACGAGTATTGTTTGGTTTAGAAAAATTGATATTACTTGTGTTGTTAAATAGAAGCAAAAACTCATAAGTAAGTCTAAAGCACTGAAAAAACAAAATGTAATTTTTGGATTTTAAAAGGTTTGAAATAGAAGCAACCACATTTGAGCCCTTTGGTTTAGAATATAGGATAATACTGGCTCTCTACCAGGTGGTTGAATACTCTTCTAACATAAACTACAATGAATCATATTGTGGCATATTTACAAATTGCTTGAGCATTATCACAAATAAAAAGCTCTAAGTGATGACATATTACTCGTTACTCAAAGATGTTAATGTCATAGCTAAATACTTGACAGAGATGATATTGGTCAAGAAGAACAAATTAAAAGTTAACGGTGAAATCTGAAACCGGCTGGATTTCACCCACGATGATTTCAGATTTCCGGCCAAGCTGATTCCAGCCAAAGAATAATGAATTAAAGAAAACTAATCAAATCATACCTAAAATACACACGCACATATATATTTGAAGTAGATTAGAAGAAAAAACTGTATTGGATCATAGTTCAGATCCACGGAATAACACTCATTCTACATTTGTTAGCTAAAACTTACAACATGTTAAGGTTAGTTAGATAGGGTAGACAAATGTTTAAAACCAAATACTAAAAACTTGACATTTTCAATAAGATTCTTGATCATTTTCTTCTTATGAAATATCAAGTTCTTTGTATGGTTTTAGATAATAGTGACGAGACATCCTTGAGAACAACCTGGAAATATACATGAAAATAATTAGAATACATGGCACATATAAACTCCACAAGACTTAATCTTTGAGCCACTCACAACACCTAGCTATAAAACATAGTAATATGAATGTGGTAAAAGAGAATTTAACAAAATTATAAGTAGTCAACATTCTTAAATCAAACTTATGGAATGTAAGCATGAAGTGATTTGGAAGTAGCAATTACTTGAAAACAGCTTTGAAAATCCAATTAATCAAATCAAGTTGCAATGCCAAAAGCATATTGAGGCGCATAGAGAAAAAACATGGTTGTAATAAATTACTTAAATCAATGCTGGTAAGGTATCTATATTTAAATAAGCTTGTGATTGTTATTACAACAGGCTTATACCGGAAAATTACTTGGTTTAGTCTAGTTTAATAAATGTCTAATAAGTGTGTATTTAATATTGACTTATTGTAGTCTTATCTCTCGTTTGATCAAATTAAACCGAAACAAGTGAAAAATATTGTTGGACTAGTCTTGCATTATTTCTTGTCACACACTAGAACCGTCATTCAGCCCGTGGGCTCATGAGCCCGTGATGCCTGCCCATCTCATTTGATAAAAAGCCTGGCCCAACCCATATGGGACACGGGTCAGCCCACTCTTAAAGGGGATGAGCATGAGGTAGAGTATTTGAAACCTCCAACTAAGCGCAGCCCAAAAGCCCATTTACGCACTACTTATTAATTAATTCTACACTAAATACATAATTAGTAATATAGAATGATAATAGCACCATTTTTTTTAAAGAAGATCTTAGTTGAATCCTAGTTTAATTAAAAGTTTGAAAATTGGTAAACTCTAGAATGCAAGCTAGAAAAAAACATTGGATCCAGAAAGAATGTATGTTATTTATAACATTACATCAAAACCAAATCGGATACCTAACGTTGATCCGAAAAGAATGAAGTTCTTGATGATTGTAAGGTGATAAAGATTTATGATAAAAATAATAAGTTTGGATTAGAAAAATAACGATGATATTTGTGCATCTCAATTTTAAGAATGTAGTTGCATAAACTTATTAGTTATAAATTAGTCTGAACCTTCATTTTATTATAATACATTTTTTGGAGTAATAAATTCATTTTACCCACTTCGTTGATTAATTTGTATTTCATGATGTATAAAAAAATATTTTTTCTTGTAAGCCCATCAGGCCTAGACTTATTAGTGACACGTGGGCTAGCCCGACCTGGCCCCTTACACCATTCTATGTAGACAAATTAGGGATCCAATTTTATTAAAATAGTCCAGCCCGAGCCGACACATACTCATTAGTTTTGGTTCAGTGTGACCAGCCCCAGCCCGTTGACGATCTCTACCACAAATAGTGTACGACAATAATGCACCAAAAAATCACAAAAATAAGAGCTTCTAAATACAAAACATTATGTATATTTTTTTCAAGAAATTATACAGCAAATTAAAGAATGTAGTAGACAAAGTATATATCTAGAGTCTACAACAAAATTAGACAAAGGACGTACTGCGGACTCTATATTAAAGTCTATTGCTTAATAATCTATCACTCCAAGAGCCTGCTGAGGGGTTGCCTGTAAAGCCAGCCTTGATTGTTGATGAATGATAAGCTTGTGAAACTGAGTAATTCTTCCTCGTTCATTTTGGCAATCCAGTCAACTCGTTTTGATTTGTCTGACCCTGGTCCACTACACCCATGCTCCTCAAAGGTCAACTTATCCAAACTGTTATCATGAAGTTATGATAAGCGGTCAACAATTCCAAAATATGATTATATAGATTCCTTAGAAATAATATCTAATACGGAGTACATAAAAGTGTACTTATTGTCCACTTTAATCAAATTTTTGTCCACTTTAATAATGTTTTAAGAATAACCTCTAAAGGAAGAACTTCTAAATTCATTAGTAAGGGTACTTTGGTAACGTTTTCTACTTTATGTTTGCTATTCTTTTTTAAAACTATAATCAAATTAGGAACACACAAAATTGATACAAAATGTATCAAGGAATTTATATGTGATGCAACTTTTATAATTGAACTCTGTTTTTTTTTGTTTTGTTTAGTAACTCATTTTTCGACTTATTAGCCATTTCCAAACACTTTTTCCCCCTCTTTTCTGGCTGAATTTGTGAAAGAATTTTTTAATGTTCATTTTAGTAATAAAATATTAAGAAACTGTCTTAAATAGCATAAAGCATGAGTGAAATGCACAAGTAGATGTATTTATAATTTTTCCTAATAATATGAGTCATTTATTTAGTCCTAAACACATTATACTATCGTAAGCAGTTTCAACTTGTAATTTACGAGTAGATGAGCACTGTTTTGGGAAAAAATAATAGTCTTCCTAGTATTTTATTCCTATTTAAAATACATTGGTTAAGGTGTTGTTGTGTGCTTGAGAGATCACATGTTTAAACTTTGGGAGTGGTCTCTTGTGGAATTTGAAAAGGTGGACTCTTCCCCGAACCCTCGCCTTTCCGGATGCCTTCGTGCACCGGGTTGCTCCCTTTTAATTATGCAGCAGATTCGGTGAAAATAATTTCAACATAGTCAACCAAATTATTTAGAGCCCGTTTAGCAACCCAGTTTTTTGGCTTATCAGGCTTATCAGCCAGTTTTTTACCAAACACGCAACTTTTGCTTTCGCGCGCTGAATTGTATAATAAGCAGAAAAAGTAAGGTTGAAGTTACTTTTCTGGCTGTATTGGCTGAAGTTACTGTTGATGACTATTTTAGCTATTTTTACATATAATTTTTCTTTATTTTATTAATAAAATATATTTATAAATTTTTTCTTCTTAAATCAGCAGAATCAGCCAATGCAGCCACTTCAACCAGAACTTCATAAATTTTAGCAGAATCAACCAAAACGGCCGGTTTTCGTGTTACCAAACCTTAGTGTTATAAAAATTCGTCTAAAAGCAAAAACTGGAAACTTTGAAAGATCACAATCAAACCAAATCAATAGACTGAGGGGATAAATTAAATAAAAAGGGAAGATGAGGAACTGACTTGACATTGAAACCAAGGGAATTGGTCCATCCTTCAGGAACAATGATATTGTCCATAAAAGTGTTGTAGAAAATAACTCTTGCATAGGCCCTCCATGGCCTTCCCAAGAAGGCTTTTCCAGTTCCAAACACACGGCACTCCTTGAAAACAAATGCGCTCTCATCTTCAGGATTATCCCTTCCCTGTGCTGTGATGTAGCCTACTAGTCCTGATTCTAGTCTTTCTGCATTCACTGCTATAGAACATTTCTGCATCCACACAGTTCAAGCAATATATAGCATATGAAACCATGTCAAAGCATCTTCTTTTTTGTGCCAAATCATATCTTTCGACAATTTGTCTGCTATCTAAAAAACATAAAACAATATCCACCACATTCTAACGGTGACTCTCTTCATCCTACTCAGGATGTTTTTACTTGGACTGTAATCTGTCCGAGACCAGACCAGACCAGACTTGACCAGACCAGACCAGCAAATTACAGTCCAAGTAATAACATCCTCACTTTCATGCATAGTTTTTTCTTACCCAAGGGGGTCAAGGGGAGGGGGGTAGGGGGAGCCTGGGTGAACATGGCTAAAACTCTCTTCCGCTTCGAACCTGAGACCTCTTGTATGAAAGAGTGAGTCGACGACCAGCTGAGCTATACCGTTGAGCTGTACCACTAAGCTAGACCGTTTTCTCTTCATGTGTTCAATTCATGTTTTCTCTTTATGTGTTCAATTCATGAAACATGAGTTCAATTCATATTACATTTCCACAAAGAACCTTATGAATCTATAATTGATAACCATATAAAAGTACTAGTATATGATATTAGATGCATGCCTTAATATAAACACTACATAGTGTTTGTGACCAAATATTTGACTAAATTGCACAATATTTTCCATGTTGAATACACTTTTCACGTATTTGACTGAACAATATTTTCATTTTCATTGTGTCTGAACTTGGTTATACCCCACGGTCCCCACACATACATAATACGTAGTATAATTGTGAGAAATTGCAATTTGTTTTCAAGTTTGTTTTCAATATATTAACCATATATGCTGAAAATGAAAATACGGGGAACTGAAAAGGGAATTGGGGTTAATGGTTCTCCAAGATTATCTCATATTTTCGTTTCTCATTTGTTACATAAAGGTTGTCTCATATCTTAGTTATTTCATATAGTTCTAAATGTTACTAGTATTATTTATTGTAACTTTAGCAACTCAATATTAAGCACATACAAAACTTACTTTTCTTAATAATAAAATCATACTGACTCATGTAACAAACTTAGATGGGATGTGGTATATATGAATAATTACCTCGAAAATAGATTTAGCATTACCGAAGATGAAGTCAACTGCTCCATTAATGGTGCAAAGCTTGAAAAAGTGATGACCTTGAACATCCCACAGGGTATCTTGCCACCCTTTAAAACCACACCTATAAAACGCCGTGTTGTCACCCATCACCAAAGCCGCCACAGCCACCTTCCTTGGATGCGTGGTGTTTTCCGGCGGGAAGTTATATGAGTTCTGTTTAATATTAACTGAATTATTATATTGAAATAAAATAAACACTAAATAACTCTTTAGTAGTTCTCTATGTTGACTACTTACTTGACTAAAATTAAAAATCCCAAAAGTTCTTGGTTCTTAATGTTAATAAACAGTATTCCATTTACTGTGCGTAACGTTCTTGTTTAATTTTGACTTTGTAGTAAAGTTTTGTTACATTGAGCATTAATAAATAATAATTATGCTTAACCAATTTTAAATTATTAAATTGAAATACTTTGAACAATATTTTTAGTATTGGATTAACGTAATGTATGGGTGAAATGCATGGTATCTTAACTATTGGTATGGTTACGTTTCGGTACCTTAACTCTTAAATGAATCAAATTAGTACCATAACTACACATAAATGTATCAATTGAGAATATCATTCAAATTTATGGACAAAAAATCATACATACATGTGTTTGAGTCCGCCCTACAATGATAACATGGGAAAAAGTAAGGCGAAGTGAACTTTTACGTATAGAATTCCGCACACCACATATTTTTGGGCCGGAAATTTGAATGATATTATGAATTGAAACATTTATGTAATTATGATATTGATGTGATTCATTTAAAAGTCAAGATACCAAAACGCAATAATATCAATGGATAAGACACCATTTATACATTTGATCCCGTCAAGTACACTATGGTCTTCATAAAATAATACGGAGAATTCAATGATGAAAGATGATAAACATTGCGAGTTTTAAATTCAAAATATGGAGGGAGGTATATTGGATGAAATCTTACTATGAATGTCATGCTTTTGACAATGATATTGTCTGCGTAGGTTGAAAAGGTAGCACTTTGAATGGTGTCATGAGAGTCCCACATCACATTTGTTTTCCTTTTCCCTTCTCCCTTGAGGTAAATAAAGGACTTCTCCGGAGGAATTGTGACCTGCTCTCTATATATTTTACCCATCCATGCATCGGCACAACAAATATCCAAATCAAAATAATCAATACAAACAAATATTTAAAAAAAACACCGCAATTTAGTCAAACATGTCTTGACATTTTTGGAAATAAGTACTAGTAATTTTTTTGACAAAACATCAAAAAGTACATTACACTTTTACACTGCACATATAGTGCAACAAATATGTGTAAAAATAAGTGTGAAAGATTTGGCACATTTTTACTAGATTTTCTAGTCTCTTATAGTATCTATTCAATGTCAAATGTCAACATCTTAATTGATTGGAATGGATTTGGACATGTGATCTTTTTATTAGGAGTGTCATAGTGATTTCACTGAATCACAACATGTTTCACAAAGATTTGGCACGTTAAAAACTCTCTTTTAATTTGATATTTAGTGTCTCCATATATAATTTAATTTGATCATTTTCACTATGAGTCATCCGGAAAGCTTTATCACAGGGGTAAGACTGCGTACATCCGACCCCATTTACCCACTCTAGGTGGGAGCCTTTGAGGCACTGGGATAAATCATAGTGATGAAATGAGTGGTTGAGGCTTCACCTGCACCTCGATCTAAGTCTCCGCCACTATTAGGACGGTTATACGTAATGGCTGAAGAGAAGTTCAATCGTGGTGTCGCAGGAGCTAATGTGATCGACCACTAATTTTCGAGAGTAAAAACTAAATCAAAAGCGTCGTCGAGATAGAATCAAATTAAACAATAACATCACAATTATACGGAATATCTATAATAGGCAACACTGATACTTTACATTTCCACAAAAGGTAATAGGCCAGGATTAGCAAATTTTCTACGGAATATTGTTTTTCCATAAAAGCTTCAACTGATTAAGTCAAGAAAATGATTTACATTAATCATGGACTCGATTGAACTTTTTGGGAAAGAAAATAGAGTTCAAAGAATTATTCTAAAAACATGACCTCACTAGCTCAAGATCCATGTATCGTACATTACAAAAATTTGGCAAGAATTTGACTTATGTGCCAAATCCTCTATCAATTTTGGCGACTCCGTCCCAAATATTCATGTCAATTCCGTTAGTTTTTAGTGGTGATATATCTTGGTTCGTATCAAGGATTAATTTATGGATCTTATGATCCGATCTACAGACCGCTCAGTCTAAGAAGCTTTTTGTAAAAGCAATCATGTTTGGTTTACGCGTTTTTTGTATACACCTTTGTAACACTTGTCTGCGTATAGACGATTTCTATAGGGTCCTACAGAGTTCGTCAAAAATGTGTATACCAAGCCTTTTTCAAGCTTGTTTGGTTACCCAAGAGCTAGAAAGGGAGGATTTGTTTTTATTTTAGGCTAGAACTAACTACATAATTAATTAATAAGATCACATACTTTTATATGGCACTTCATTTCCAGCCATCTAATTAGAAACACGCCAGACTTAATTCATGAATCAATGTTCGAAAAATCTTGTCCGTTTTCGGTTTGAGAAAAGTAGCAAGAGTTAAATGTGAAAAAACAAATTAAACATTTGACAAAAAATGGTACCGAACATGTAAGTGCCTGCTTTGACGTAAATGCAGATCCAGTCTTTGTTAGCCGGCGGCACTGCATCAATGGCGGACTGGATAGTTCGGAAATCCCCCCGCCCCGTCGGATCCACCCGCACCGTCGTGTAGTTGTCGTAAAACTCCGCCAGTCTGGCTGTTCTAGTGGAAGCACCGCCGCAGTCCACGGCCAGAAAAACCATCAGCCGCCATAGGAAGAGAATCAGCTTAAGATAATACGACGACATTTTTTAACTTATGGAATAAAATATTTTTTCTTCTCTTGAGATGAAAAACGTTCAAGTAGTGGGAATATATAAGAAACGTTTGCATAACGTGGGAACCATTTTTGGAGGCGGGAAAGGAAAGGAATGCATTTAAGGAAATTTCCAGATTCTCTAAATCTGTTTTAATTTATAACTGTCTATATTAGATTGATCTCCCCGTCCACTTAACGTGACACGATCTTTTTCGGATGTGTGAATGACTAGTAATAGAGTGTGAGACGGTTCGAACCTATTAAAGCCCTGGAATTTCTCATCTAGTTTGATTTCAATATATATCTAATTAATCTAGTATGTCTAATTTAATTTATCTTAGGGAGATTACCCAAATATGACCAAATTATGTCATTTTATTAAAATATGATCTACTACTCTACTACTTTAAAATGACACAAGTAAGATTTTTTATGTGTGCTTTGAACAAAAATAGCTTCATATAGGGCCGGAGCACTATTGCACTCGATCAGGTCACTAAACCACCACGGACCTCCTACCACCGGACCGCCACTGTCAATTGCCAGATTTCCCCCCCCCCCCCTCCACCCGACCCCCACCCAAATTATCACTGCCGATATGCTTGAATTCCGCCGCCGAGTCTCCACCATCGCCAAACCAATCCATCATCAACGGGCTGACCTTGGTTATGTAAGAGAACTAGAGGACAAAATTATTTAGGGGTCAAAAAGTAATGTTTGTTTCTATTTATGGAAAATCAAACATATGATTTGACTTCGAAAAAATTGCTACGGAGTATGATTTCCCAACACCCCTTTTTTCAAAGTTGTCCTTTTTTTCAGGGGTTTCCCTATGTCCATAACTCAATTATTTTAAGACATCCCAAAATCGAAAAGAAAACACAATTATTTTGGGACGGAGATAATATATTTTAAAATAAAGTTTAATAAGCTTGTTATGCTGTGGTAATTCAAATATAAATATCCTTTCAAAAAATGGAATACAAAATTTAAAAGTGTCCTTGCAAATATGACATAATTTGTTTTAGGTCGTTGCAATTTTTTTATCATATACAATATGCACTGTATTTTGTTTATGGTCCATCTCTAAACCCGAAATCAGTCTACTTAGAAAAGATTATCGTCGGTTGAAAAATATACTAATACTTTTAAATTTATCCTTTTATAATTTTTTCGACTAATATAAGAGTTTAAATAATGTAAAACTAATTGTTCACATTTTTAAAATGTGTATTTAAAACCTTGTAAAAATAAAATAAAATACTTTTTGAATAACATGCCAAAACATTAGAGAAAACCTATTAGTCGGATTGTTTTGTTCTCAAACGAGTGTTGTTATTATTAGTGATGGACCAAAAAGAAAACAACATAAATTTCAAGGATGAAAAAAAATTGCAGATATGTAAAACAAAATGTACTATACTTGGGACTAAACACATATTTAGACATATTTAAATCTTCATCTGAGTCATCATTTTAATATGATAAAAATGATAAAAGTATATAAATAAATAATTTAATAACCTTATAAAGTTTAATTTCAAATAAATGTTTTTGAGTAATTGTTTAAGTTTATGAGCAAATCAATGAGCAATATACATATGCACATATGATTAATGTGTGTGTGTATTCAAACCAAGAAATCTCCCTCACAGTACATGCAAAATAAAATACAGAGATTGTGTGATTTTTACATAGTTATGATCAAAATAAAGATTGTTTACAAAATTTGACTAGTGACTAAAGTAGTAATGGAATCATAGTAACTTATGTTCAATATTTAAAATTAAGTTATCATGACACTACATTGTAGTAACTAGTAGTCATATTTGTGTAAATAAGTTTTATTTTAGTAATAGTTTTAAAAAATAAACTCTTCTTAAAATTTTTTATGCTCCATAAAGGAGCAAGAAAAATATTAAAGTGACTGGGTGGAAGTGCATAAATACTTCAAAGTGCTCAAAAATACTCCTAGAAGCACTTTTTGAAAAGCTGGCATAGGGACCGGATGTCATCTTCTGAAAATCGACACTAGTTTAATTTACTTATGCTTTTGAAACATCATATTAGTCTATATTTGCATCATTTCCCTCCTATTTCAAAATGCTAACCCAAAACACTGTTATTAGCAGCGTTTCCATTGCAGCAGCTCCGTCCAAAAACGCTAGGGTTGAACAACTATTTACCGAATAGCGTTTTCACTTACGGGAAAACGTTAAAATAGGTCAAACCACCTTTTTTTTTTTACTGAAACGTCATTTTCCAAACACCCCATATATCAGAGTGAGCAAGACCAAACTAGACCAGATGAGTATTTTTCTTTTTGATAGAACCATGCAAGACATACACATTGCTAATATATAAATATGAACAAAAATAGACATTTAAAGAATATGGAATCATATGAGAAGAAACATAATGCAGACCGGAATAGAAATTTCAAGTGGAGAAGAATGATCTATATTTATCCGTGTGTTTATTATTGTTCTCCTTGTTATCGACTTTGAGGGAGATGACTCCTTCTGGTGTTGTGGTTCATCTTGTGGGTCTGTCTGTAGTCTATCATTTGTCCATTAGAGAAGGTGTATCATGGATCCAAAATAAAAAACTCCATGAACACCATGATTTCCGCAGCTTATAAGATTATAAGACACAACATGAAAAAACCAATAAAAAGTCAACACTAGGCCAAATTCTAAATAAGGGATCGAGAAGCATTAAATAGGAGTCAACAAAACTTTGATGACAGAACTTGAAGGTAAATAAATACTTCATGTCAGAAATTAATAGAGCAACTACTTTGATGACAGAACTTGAGGGTAAGAGGCCAACTTCAAAACATGTTTCAAATCGGGATTGTTTGATAAATTGTAGCCTCGAGAGGGACTCCTTCATTCCTCAGCTGTCCGGAGATTATTCCAACTAGAGTGATCTCTCTATTTCGAGAGCACTGCGTCAGGTCGATGTTGATCATTATGTCTCTTCTCAGAAACCTCAGGTATTGGATGTTGTAGAAGACTCTGGTAGCTCTTTGCGATTGTCTGACTTAGTTATGATTAATGATACCTTTTATACTACAATGACTAATGGGGTAGAATCGCTCTCCTTGTTTCTTATCAAAGAATTTGAGAGAATCGTTACTTCTTGTTTGGAAAATTGGAACTCTCTAAACAAGAGAATGGATGATAATGCTAATCCTCAGATAAACTCTTCGATAGATGCTGCTACAAGTTATCAATGCTCTATAGGGATGAATTGTGACGATGTTTTTGCCGGAAAAATATTGTCATACTCGGGAGATGAATTTCTAGGCCATGCTTCAGAGAGCAAAAAAAAGAACTCCCATTTCAGGGTTTGAGGATTTATGGGACTCGGACACAAATCAAGACATATGTAACAAGGCTTGCTTTATCACACGAGAAAATTGTTTACCTACTCAAAACCTTAACACTCAAATGAAAATCTACAGAAAAAAGCATCAACGATCGCATCACATGAGAACGAGATCTGAATCACATGTGGATTTCTAAGATAGGGTTTTGACGTGTACTTCGGGTTGGCCTATTTTGGCTGTTTTTCTTTTTTTCTTCCCCTTTGAACCTTCTACCTTGTTATTTGTTTACTCTTTCATCAATAAAATTTTCCTTTTAAAAAAAAAAGGAGTCAACAACATCAAATCATGCCACTAGACCACTATGCCTGAACAGTGATACCTTGATTAGCACGACACAATCTATTCTTATCTAAAGTTCTTTTAATCGTGCATGAATAGTTACGAGTGTCACAACTATCTTGGTCAAGTGAGAATCGGCCACCCGACTGGTGGTTGTTTGGGAGGGGGTTCACTAATGAATCCATATGACACATTAGAAGCATGGCGGTGATAGAACCAGTGAGCTCCTTGCTTTGTGATAATTTGGCCCGCAAGCAGAGCACAAGATTAGAAGATTATTAATGTAGCTAGATGGGCTACATAGAGCAGATTAGGCGCTTTGCCTATTCTATAAGAGGGAAGGACGAGCTACACTATCTATGATTGCTTTTAGTGTAGTAGTGATCACAACGATCCACAAGTGATATCAGACCAAAAGGTCACGGGTTCGGCCCCGGAAACAACATGTTGCTTAGTTGTAGACTGACAGGTGCTGGGGGAGATTGTTAAGCCACGAGTATGCGGTGCCAGCAGTCTGTCAGCCTGTCGATGCAATCGGAACGTGACACTGTGCCTGTTCTATAAAGTAAGGGTGTGTTACACTATCAGCAATTGCTTTTGGTGTATCGGTAAGCGCAACGATCCACATTCATTACTTTTTCTTATACACTTATTATCTCTTTCCTAGAAGTAGAGTCCATTTTGCTTCATAACACTACGTAACTTAATTGGTTTATGACTCTTATTGGGACTAAATACCCGATACCTCCCCTCACTCTTCATGTGAGATAGATAGAAAAATTTAATTAGATAAGGTGTTTCATAACTGCTTAGATAGAGATCCGATCATATTTGCAACGTGAGAAAATGTGTGAGGTAGGCGATGATAATTTCTAGATGAATTTGCATCATACAGCTATGAAAAGTATTCTCTCTGTCCCAATGTGATTTACGAAATTTGGCAGATACAAGAATTGAGGGAGGTAAAAAAAAATGAATTTGGATTCATTATTTTCCCCTTTCTCCCATAAGTAGAGGAATTTTAGCAAATGGAAAATGAGCAAGAGTAGGGGCAATTTTTTCACTTTATTCATCTTTGCATACCTAAAATAGAAAGTGAAAATTCATTTTAGGACAACAAAGACAGAAAATTTGTGAATCAAATTGGGACAAAAAGACAATAAAGATTCAAAAGACTTTGGTGAGTTTTACGGAATTTGCGTTCTTCGTGAAATGGAGTCCAGAAAAGTTGCAGACAACTAAATCAATAACTCAGTTTATCTTTGATACCAATGGAAAGTTCGGTTTTATCCAACAATCACAAATATAAATGAAAGACATAAATATAAATGAAAGAAGGTCGATGAGAGTATTAAATGCTATTAAATACGATAAAGATGAAGAATTACATATCGGTTTTGAGCGGCTTTGCCTTCTCTCTAGAATGTCTGGACGTGATTTACAAGCTTAGCCAATGTTACAGTGAACAGAAGCTAATAATCCTTCAGATATATA